ATTTCATTCAAATAGTGACAAAACTCTAACTAAATCGCTACCAATTCCACATCCACCATCGCCGACCACCGATTACCACCGGCGACAGCCAGCACTTCCACGATTCCACCTCCTCCACAACCATTTCCACCTATACTATAACTACGACTACAGCTACAACTTCCACTCACTACCAAACAGGGTAATATTTTCGGCGGCAATATCCGCTGGAAATCCGCCGGAAATACTTATTACCGGCGGAAATCTGCCGGAAAATTTTGAAATAAATATTAATTCTTATTTATTTTCCGGCGGATCTTAATTTTTAAAAAAATAATTAAATATCCGCCGGTAAATTATTGTAATTAGATTTAAACACAAGACTAAAATAATTGATTACGAACTCCGCCGGAAATATTATCAGAATAATTTTACCGACGGAAGTCAACATAAGTTGACTTTTTTGTTGTCCCACGGAAATCCCCCGGAAACCCGCTGGTATATTTCCGGCGGATTTCGTCCGCCGAAAATACTCATTATTCTAGTAGTGACTTGCACCACCGTCGACCAAAGTACCACTACATACACCACCACCACTTCTACCACCACCATGCACTACCTCCTCTCCTTGTGGCCACCACCACCACCGCCGTCGTCTCCACCAATTCGTAAGGGTCATTCAAACTAATGTAACATAATTTTTTCCCGTATACATCAATCTCATTCAAATTTTGTACAGTTACACACACACATACATATATTGATTAACCTGGATATCAACATGCTATGCGAGCCGACTAATCCCAGGATGACCACCTGTTTTGCGGGTAGCTCGGAGTCACTGCATCTAAACCTCCGTGGCCACAAGACAATTTTTATTCCTCCTTGAATTTATATATATATATATATATATATATATATATATATATATATATATGTGTGTGTATGAAAAATGTGCAAGAATGTTTACAAACTAATGATTTAAATATTACTTGATCTTTGTCATTTATAAATATCATCATGTATATAAAAACATTAAACAAGATTTAATAGGGACGATTCCAATCATTTTAACACGTGTCATTTCTTGTCCAACATACCAAACACTATACAGACAACTTATTTAATCTTAACCTACTCACAAACACCTTCTCCACCACTGTTTGCGTACCAAACGCTACATCAAAATACAGCCAACACTATGCTTTCTAATACAAAACTGTCCAAGTCAGTATTTTTATCTTCACGATTAAAATAGAAATTAGGGTTTTAGGGTGTGACAAAAACTTTCATTATTAACACATCAAATTGTATATTTCCCTACTTAATTAATGAAACCTTTGTGGCCACGGAGGTCCAAATGTAAGCACGAATAAAAATCCTCTTGTGGTCACAGAGGTTTAAATGTGGAGACTCTGTGGCTATCTGCAAAGCAGGTGGTCGCCCTGAGATTATTCGACTCACATAACGGGTTGGATATCCAGTTTAATCAAAATAATAATAATAATAATAATAATAATAATAATAATAATAATAATAATGAAACCCTAATTAATTATGGTAAAAAAAACAAAACCCCAACAAATTTAGTCTCCCTTCAATGAACCAAGCAATTTTTACTCCAACTTTTCACCAATCAATCAAAGACTTTCACTTGGATAATTAATCCCTAAATTTGGCAATACAAGATGACCATACTATACACTTTATCTCAATGCATACATAATAGCCATGTTTAGTCACTTCCTAGCATCAAGAGTCATCTTCATGTTTTCCACAAACACTTGGTTCCTAATTTGGATGTGTTTACATCTTTTTAACCAAACCAACTAAACCGACACTGGAATGAAATCTGTTTCAAAGGACGCCAAATATACAAATTGTCCACTATAACAAAATTGGGTTTATAGAACACTCTCAAAATTCTATCTAAATGTGTTGTAATAAGTTTATATGACGTTTTTGGGCGTCTTAACAAGTTTTTTAGGATATTTTTAATACAAAGTGTCGCATTAGCAACTTTATAGGACATTTTTTTAGAAAGTGTTCTATAAACTCAATTTTTTATAGGACATTTGTTTTTATATGACAATTTTTCAAATAACGTCCTATAAAGTTGCTAATGGGACGATTTATATTAAAAATGTTCTAAAAAACTTATTACGACGTCAAAAAACGTCATATAAACTTATTACAACGCCTTTAGATAGGATGATTTATTTTTTGGTCCTATAAACTAAGTCTTATAAAGAGGTCTATTAGGACACTTAGAAATTAGAAGTGTCCTATAAACCCAATATTGTTGTAGTGAACACTTTTAGACGTCCTAACAGGTATTTTTTTTTTTTTTTTTAAATTTGGGTTTTGAACTAACATATCTTCCAAGTGTTTTTTTTATAATAGACTTTTGAGAAATACGTGTGTTATGAATACATTTTTTATAGGACACTTATTTTATAAGAAAACAAACCAAAACCAAATTGACCCATGTAAAAATCTCACTCGAAAGTAGGGTCTGAGGAAGGTGAGATTTATGTAAACCTAATCTATATCTCAAAAGAGTAGAGTGTTTGTTTCCATGAATAACCCCAACTTGTGCAAGATTGTGAACAGACAAACGTAGGGCACGTATACTAACATACGACGAATGCAACACGACAGAAATAAGAAGAAAAAGTAAGATTGAGACTCCAAAAAGACTACTATAACGTTTTTCAAATAACGACATATCAAAAGATGAATAACACATTTTATTTCAAAAATATCCTAAAAACTTGATACGACACTTAATAAAGGAGTTCTATCAACTTATTGTTACACTTTTACATTCTTTTTAGTCTTATAAAACAGTTTATTAGGATATTTAAACATACGATAAATACCAGTAAATCTAGACAGAGGTCGTAAAGTGTAGAGGCAGATAAAATGTATGCAGACCTTACCTTTTATAGCAGTACAGTAGAGGATATAGGTAAGATTCTTAGATTCCAAGTAAAAACAACAAAATGCAGGATTGGACCTTAGGAAGAAGAAGAAGGCAACATGAATGCAACCAAAAGACAATGGAGGACCCATTAACCATGTGAGTAACATATGGAATTAGCTAGATCAAAACCATTAGTGTCCCATATACATCCAAGTCTAGGTTTTTGGAAGTGTCAAACCAATTAATTAACATCACTATATATGCATCTAATTCTAATTAATTACTGATTCCAGACTAATTAAGGGGTGTTTTTTCTTGATTAATTAAAGATTTCTTGAATTGGGGTTGTTAATTATGTATGGTAATTAATGGAAATGGGGTATGATTAAGGGGGACAAAAGGTGAAGAGGGTTCCTAAAGAAAGAATATATATATATATATATATATATATAGATATATAGATATAGAGGGACAATTAGAGGTAGAGATGAAGTTGGTGTTGCATTAAAGGAGGAGATAGTTATGAAATGACAAAATGACATACAATCTAATTAGCCTTATAATACCAAATCATATATACAGATGTGTTTCTGCTTCAGGACAAGACAAGCCCACATGAACAAGAAAGAGACTCTTCTTTCATCCCTTCCTATAAGGACAATTTGGTCCTTTCCATTTAATTAATTATTTATTTATTTATATATATATATATATATATGTATGAACGATCAAATGCAAACTATCTATATTTGTATAGACTGTGAAAACCATCTTTATCTGTCGATTTTATTGTTTAATTTAATAATTTTGTTTTATTAAATTGTTTAATATTATGAAATTGTTTCGTATAATATTTTTTTAGATGAAGTTGTTTTCATATATGGTTATAGAATTTTAATGAAATTGTTTCATGTGTTTATTTAAAATTAATATAATGAAGATGATAATATTCGTGATTAACACCATCCACAATAAAAATGATTAATCAACCTCTCATAATTACAACAAAAAAAATATGAAAAATTATGATTGGTTGAATGAAGTTTGATCGAGTTTATAAAGCATTGAAAAAGTTTAAATATCCGAATATACTGCTTTATAGAACTTAAGTTTATGTAAACGTGCTACAATGAGTTCATAGATGTTTTTGGGTTTTTAACAAGTTTTTTTTTAACATTTTTAAAATAAAAATGTCATATAATTAGTATTATTACAGGACGCTTTTGAGAAATGCTCTATAAAAATACATCTTTATATACAACATTTTTTTTCAAATAATATTATATAAAAAAAACTATAAGAACGTATTATTTCAAAAGTGTTTAAAAAACTTGTTAAAATGTCAAAAAAATTCATATAAACCTATCGTAACACTTTAACATAAAACACACAACTCTTTGATCTTGTATATAAATTTAACTTTTACAAAACATGTTCAGTCTTCGACATTTTTAACATCTTATAAACCTAAGTTCGTTGTTGTATCACTTTCATCTAACTGCATTCCAGGGCCGTTTTCCAAACGTTTATCCGGATAAGCACTTATCAAGTCACATTACCTCACTGCATAAATATAACAAGAACCAAGAATCTTACCTGTAAAACACTGAACGCAATGACCGAGATTCTTACCTTGTAAGCGAGCGAGACATTTGTTACAACGGTTAGCACTTACCCAGTAAATTGTTGCATACAATACTGTTTTAATAGATTAAAATTTTACCTAGTAAATAAGTGATAGCGGTCAAAGTTAATTCGAAGTTTTTTTTATGAGCCATCAGGTAGATAAAGATTACAAAAAATGTCTCCATTTTTGTTGTTGTTGGGGACAATGTATAAAGTTATTATCACCTTAGCTTGGTTAACAATAGACACCATTTATTATATATATATATATATATATATATATATATATATATACACATACATATATGATACAAGACGACGATTATTCGTTACCCCACCATTTTTGTCCATATGAACCTTGATCCCTTTATATACATTCACACAATCACATTTCACTCACCATATCTTCTTCATTCTCCCCATACAAGTGTTCATCACCATCACTAAACAACTTCAAACACCATTCAACATGCATACTTTCAAATCTCATCCCATCATCTATCACAAACATTTAGACCTAAATTCCATGAAAGAATTACCAGAATCACATGCATGGTTGTCTCCAGATCATGGGTCTCCTTCTAAAGCCTCCAGCAATCCAGATTCAGTTCCAGTTATCAATCTTCAAGATCCAAACTCCATGAAACTTGTTGGCCATGCATGCAAGACCTGGGGTGTGTTTCAGATCACCAATCATGGAGTTCCTGCAAATCTTCTTCAAGATATGGAGTCTGCAGGCAGAAAGCTGTTTGCACTTCCGATTCAGCAGAAACTTAAAGCGGCTCGAGCTCCGGACGGGGTTTCTGGCTATGGTGTCGCGAGGATATCTTCGTTTTTCCCGAAACTTATGTGGTCCGAAGGGTTTACGATCATTGGATCGGTTTATGAACATGCTCGTAAACTATGGCCCAAGAGTTATACTACCTTCTGGTAACGTTTAATTCGATTTTTATTCTTATTTTAACAAGTTAAAATTCGGTTTATAGGACGCCACCCAATTCTAAACTGTTTTACAAGACTTAATTTGTGTTGTTCTTATAAGACATTTTTTTCAAATAGTGTACTGTAAAATTGTTAATGTGACGTTCTGTATTATAAGTGCCCTAAAAAACTTGTTAAGACGCCCAAAAACGTCCTGTAAACTTATAGAACGATTTATCTTGTAGTGAATCATCGTCCATGATCGGTTGCATGCATCTGGATACGAAATTGAATTTGTTTTGTGATCGATTTTTGCAGTAATTTGATTGAAGAATACAACGAAGAAATGAACAAATTAGCGGAAAAACTCATGAGTTTGATGTTGGGATCATTAGGGGTTACAATGGAAGATGTACAATGGGCTAACTCAAATGGTTCATGTCCAGCTTTACAGTTCAACTCCTACCCAGCTTGTCCCGATCCAGAGCGAGCCATGGGTCTAGCGGCTCACACCGATTCGACCCTCTTAACCATTCTTCATCAAAACAACACAAGTGGACTCCAGGCTCACAGGGACGGACCCGGATGGGTCACAGTCCCTCCAATCCCTGGAGCACTTGTGGTCAATGTAGGTGACCTACTTCACATACTATCCAACGGTTTATACCCAAGTGTCCTTCACCGAGCCGTAGTAAACCGCACCCAACACCGCCTATCCATCGCTTATCTTTACGGACCACCATCAAATGTCCAAATCTCACCTCTATCCAAACTCACAGACCAAATCCACCCGCCTCTTTTCCGACCTGTCACATGGAGCGAATACCTTGGCACGAAAGCGAAACACTTCAACAAAGCATTATCTTCGGTCCGTTTATGCGCACCCTTGAACGGATTCGTCGATTCCAACGACCACAACGGAGTACGAGTTGGCTGAAAACGTGTATAAACTCTTAGAGAAAGATAACGTTGTATGAAGGTTAAGGAGATGGGAGGGTATAGTATAAACAAAGAAGCTACTGTTTTAGGGTTTGTTTTTATATGGAAAGAATCCATTAAAGTATGAAGATAAACGACAGATGGGCCGACACATTTGTGCCCCGAATATGAAGGAAGATCCTCCCCCAAAGAATTGAAGAAAAGATTAAACCGGATATTTATGTTTTTCTATAAAAACATTTATCAACTTATTATAAGTCAGAAGTCTTTAAAAACTCCTTATTACCAGTTTAACATCGGTATAAGTTGTTTATCCAAACACCCAAAAGTGCTTATCACCGGTACCATACCGGAACAAGTCAATAAATTATTTTTATAAGCAATCCCAAACTTTCGTCGAAAAAAGATGCTTGAAATCAACATTATTAATAATTCCCAGTTGAAAACACCCAAAAAAGTGTAATAAAACCTCCAAAATAGGAGTAGATTTGAAGTAACAGCTGCAGCAAGTTGAAACTTAAAGAATGTGAGGCCATGGTTGTCTCTTTGCATTTGTCCATCTCACACACACACACACATATATACATACATATATATATATATATGTATGTATGTATGTCCGTCCATAAATGATCGATTTTGGCACAACTCGTAATTGAAGACCCCACATGCATATGGCTACTTTCGATTCGCAATTAATTTCTAGCCAATGACACCATCTTTCTTCCCTCTTGGAAGGAAGGAAGGAAAGGAAAGGAAAAGAGTTAGTTTTTACAGTTTAAATTTGGTTCATCTTCTTCAAGTTGGTGTTTTTTTACTTAAAAGAATCAAGATCCAAAGTGGGTTTGATTCGTTTGGTCGATCCAAGAACGTTATCGGTTCGATTCGCTACTTAAAGAATTGGTGCTGTAACACGGAAAATATGTGTAAATGTCCTAAAAGACTGACTTTTTTCCCTAACAGAATCAAGATCCAAAAGTGGGTTTGGTTCGTTTTGTCCATCCAAGAACGTTATGGGTTCGATCCGTTACAACAAAATTGGCTTTTTTGTATTACAAATTAGATAAGTGCCCTAATAGATTGTTTTATATATACGACTTAAGTTTATAATATCAAACAATTGCGTGTCATATGTAAAAGTGTTACAACATGGTATTTTTGTACGTTTTTTGATCATTCTAACAAGTTTTTTATGACACTTTTAAAAATACATTGTTTTATATATTAACTAGCGTCCTACAAATACATTATATAAAAAAAAATTGAAATGACGGTTTATTTCATTTAAACGTTCAAAAATATCCTATCAACTTATTGTAACACATTTACTTATGACACAACGGTTTGGTCATATAAACTTAGGAACCGTTCATTTACCCCATGTTTAATCAGATACCATTCTCAGTCCTCAGAATGGATTGTACATTGGTAAAACTCTTTTACCCTGTAAGTGCTTATCAGGTAAGATTTCGACCCTTGTTACGCCTCTTAATTACTAGGTAAAATTCCCAGTCTTTTGTCATTCTCATTCAGTAAGGTTAAGTGACACACAGAGTAAGTTCTTACGTGGTTACAGCTTGGTAAAACGACCTCTAATTAAGTCCTGTAAAACAACTTACTATTTGAAATACCAGATGTATTTGACGTCCAATAAACCCAATTTTATCGTAACGCTGTTCCATATGGTAAAAACGGAGAAAAGGGTTTTGAAAATTGATGTTAGAAGGCCCCACCTAGCTATAAATTTGCTGTGATTTCATGATGTTAACTTTATTGATCTTGATTTCAAGTGGATTTTTTACTCTTTGTTCATCACTTTTGGATCAATCAAAACACTATTACATGAAACGACATGATGAATTTTGGTGGACAAAAAGGAGTCATAATCTTTGTCCCCTTCCCTGTAATCATCATCAACTAAACCAAGGGGATTGAGGCAAAATGCTAATTATGATTTCAACCTCTAAAATCTGATCCCGTTGACGTTTGTTATTCGAACTGTTATCGGTTCTGTCAGATTAATTATTACATCAACCAGACTGAAACGTCCCTTTTCTCTTTTTTTTTTCAGTAGTTCTGTTGGAGAGTAATCTAATTAGGGTTCCATATATTTTGGGCAAAAAGTTGATTACCAGTAACAAATAGGGTTTCACATGTTTGGGCAGAAAGTTGACTACCAGCAACTAGGGGTGCTCATGGGTTGGGTTGATCGGGTTGAGGACATTTGAACAACCCAACCCAATGTTTATGGTTTGGAAAAATCTTAACTCAACCCAACCCAAACCAAAGTGCAACCCAACCCAACCCAACCCGTACGGGTTGGTCGGGTTGATACTTTGGTATATTAAAATATTCTTCTAACCTTGAATATGTTATTTCTCTACTCATACTTTATTTTTCATCATCAACCTTTTGATACAACTTATTCATATTTCTTACGTATATCACATTTAGTTAATTTTCTCAATTTACATATATATGTTCACAGTTACTGAATGAGTTATATAGAGATATGAATAGATTGAAAATATGTGTATATGAAAAGCATACATGATAGTGTAATTGTCTAATGTATATATTAATAGAAATTCATCAATCATATTAAATCTAAGAAATAAAAGGATATCGAGTTCATCGGGTTCATCTGGTTGGGTTGGGTTCAAAAAATATCAACCCAATATCAACCCAATACCTACGGTTTGACAATTTTACAACTCGATTAGACATCGGGTTGCTTTGGGTTGGGTTATTTTACGTTGGGTTGGGTTGGGTTGGTCGGGTTGATCGGGTTTTTGAGCACCCCTACCAGCAACAATCAGGGCCGTCCCTGAGGGAGGGCGGGCCGGGCGTACGCCTAGGGCCCATAAAAATTAGGGGCCCAAATTTTTTTAATATATATATATATATATATATAATAATAGTTCAAAAAAATTAGTAAATAGAAGACATATTAAAAATTTAGTATCAAATATGACAAAAAAAGATTTTGGTATTACATTAACTATTAAAGACCCAAATATGTGTGAATTAAATATATTTGAGAAAAAAAATACCTAAAAAGGTTAATCTGTCGTTTATTATAATTTATTATTTAATGCTTTTCCAAGTTTTTTTTATCTAAAACCGACGTCTAAAACTACTTGTTTTTTAAACTTTGATATATTCTCCATAATTTATCTCTCATCGACTCTTTTGATTGTTCCATTCTCGCGTGATGTCTATTTTTATATTAGAATATGATAGATTTTGTTGTTATTAGCTAAGAAAACCCTTATCTTTTGAAAAAATTACCAACCATATAAGACGGTACAACTTATATCTATATTTAGAATAATAAAACTATATATGTTTTTTCATAGTTGTTTTTATCATCTAATATTGAGTGTAAAAAATCTTATATATTATTTTATTTCTAAAAGAAGAATAAGATCTCAAACTATCACCAACATGAGTTTTTTAATTTATATAATCGATTATTCCAGAAAAATTTGTTTTAATCTTAATCCTGTGTTCTTGAGTCTTCTTTTACGTAGGAAAGAGTGAAAAGTAATGAGAGGAAAAAAGTATTTTGTTCTCGAGATTTTTTTAGGGAAAGGAAAAAAATTATATCAAATTTTATTTTTATTTAATTATTTTTCCTTCCTCTCTCTTCTCTATTAAAAACACAAACAAAAAATTTTATTTTTCTTCTTTTCTTTTCTTTTTCTTTTTCTTTTTCATTGTTTTGTTTCATTCACAAATTCGAAAACGTAATATAAAAGTTTAAAATGGTGTTAATCTTCTCAAATTTGAAAACATGATATAAAAGTTTAAAATGGTATTAATCTTCCCAAATTCGAAAACATGATAAAAGTTTTAAATGGTATTAATCTTCCCAAATTCGAAAACTTAGTATAAAAGTTTAAAATGGTGTTAAAAACATTAACATGAGATGACATGGAAAACCAACTTATTTACATTGATTTACATATTAGAAATCAGAAAAATCGACTTTGTGACCCCAAATGATGTCATTCTATGTACCAAAAGTATATCATAGGATGTTTTTGATGACGAAACAAATCAATGATATTAAAAAAAAATGTTCTAGTAGATAATATTAGTTTAGAAATGAGTATTGCTTGATTTTGCGTTCAGGAATACTCGGAAAAACGGTTTGATATGAATTCATTATTATTTTCGATTATAGAAAGAATATATTGAAAAAATATCGTACTTATCGAAGGGCCCCTTTTTATATCTCGCCCAGTGCCTAAAAATTGTCAGGAACGAGCTTGACAACAACTAGAGTTTCACATATTGTCACATGATGTCGAAGTTAAGGGCTACCATTTTATGAACTTGACAAACTGGGGTAATTTGTACTCGTCAACCCCCCCCCCCCCCAAGTAATCTGGAACGATCTATGTTTGTCTAGCCTCCGTTGGAAAAAGTGTGTTGGAAACCCATATCAGTTAAATTTGAATTGTTTTTGTTCAGTATATGTTGGAATCTCTTTGTTCAATCTAAATAGGATTATACGTATCCAGATAGATTCAAGATACTTGGGTCTTGTTCTAGTTTGTAATATGCATGGGGGTGGATTGTAAAATCCCACATCGGTTGGGAAAAGGGAACTAAAATTGCTTTGTAAGAGACTTGATACCTCATCTACCAGACATGTTTTAGAATCATGAGTCCAAGTGTGAATAATATTTGGTACGATTGGTCTGAGATGTTATAAATGGTATTAGAGCCGGGAACTGAATTGGTGCCAGCAAGGACGCAGGTCTCTCAAGGAGGGTGGATTGTAAAATCCAACATCGGTTGGAAGGGGAGCTAAGGTTGCCTTACAAGGAACTGGATACCTTCTCTATAAAAAAAAAAAAAAAAACATGAGTCCAATTGTGGATAAAACGGACAATATTTTTGTACGGTTGATTTGGGATGTTACAAATTGTATTCAGAGCAAGGAAACTGGACTGTGCCAGTGAGCCTCACAATGGACTGAATACCTTCTCTACCAGACGCGTTTTAAAACCGTGTGTCCAGGTTAAACAAACGAACAATATCTAGTACGGTTGATCTAGAATGTTACAAATTGTATCAAAGTGGGAAACAGGACGATGTGCCAGGAGGACACTGGGCTCCAAAGGCGGTGGATTGTAAAATCTCACATCAGTTGGGGGAAACTAAGGTTGTCTTACAGGGACTGAAAACCTCCCCTACCACACGTGTATAAAACCGTGAGTCCATATATGGACAAAGCAGATAATATCAGGTACAATTGTACTAGAATGTTACAAAGTAAAATTTTATTTCCACCAATCAGATAAAAACACGTCATTTTTTTATTTAATATAACTTTATTTCAATTTATGTTTATTCTACATGAAGAAACGACAAGATATCTTCTTCATGTTATGTAACGATCATCATTTGTTGGTATTCACATGTGAATGAATACGTATGAAGAAAACAAAGGATCCAAGATTCACCTTTTAATCCGGGTTGTGTCACATCAACCCGACCCGTTTGTTGTTCTTGAATTATGGTCCATTGGTTCTCATAAACCCAAGGTCGAAGAGGATATATCTGCAGTTATGGTCCACAATTGTGTAGTCCATTCTCAATTTATTTCCAAAATCCATGTATTTGTTTTTTTATATATATATCTTTTTCTAAATAGAGATAACAGCTTTTTTAGATAATTAATTTTATTATTTTTCTTCAAGAAAAAATCATATAAAATAATAATTAATATATATATACACACACACTAGAAGGGTACTCGCGTAATGCAGTGAGATACATTTTAATTTTAATATTTCATTTTATTCTTTATCTCGGTCGATATTATAATATGGTCTTATGTGATTTTGAAAAAAAAAATGATGTTTTTATTTTTAAATGAAATATTTATAAAAATTTGACAAAAATATATCGAAATTAGTATCAAATTAACTATTTAAAATCCTCATTTTTTGTGTAATTTTTTAATTCAATAACGAAATAATTTATATTTGATTTAATAATGTAATTTTCTTATAAAGATAATAATTAATTATTTTGTTAGAACTCGATAATTATCCTAATTATATTTTAGATTTTTTATATTTTAAAATGAGATGGTTATTCTCTATTTGGTTATGTTTATCCGCAAGTTAGTCATACGAATTCAAATATCGAGCTTTAATAAGTTGTATTTATGCATAATTTACTTGTAATTTTGAATTTTAAGTAATATGCATTAATATACAGTACTTCATACATAAAATTAATAGTTTTTGTCAAATGCTTGAGTTTGAGTTTGAGCCTAAAACTTGACCTTCGTTGAATCAACGAGCCTTAGAAAAGGTTATTTCCTGGTATTAACAAAATCAACGGTATTAATCTTAGTTCAATTATCAAACGTTGCATACATCGATCTTTATAAGGTTAATTTGCAGTATATTTTATATATACTTCAAAAAAAACAAATTATATATATATATATATATATATATATATATAGGATTAGGTTCACGTGAGGCAAGGTTGTTTTCGTGAGACATGTGAGACACGGTTATTACATTTGAAACTTCACAACAAAAAGTTGTGAAGGTAAAAGAAAGTCGAATCTTCACAGCAAAAACATTGTGAAGGTTACCTTCACAGTATTTTGCTATGAAATTTCAAGTGTAAAAGTCGTGTCTCAAGAAAATGGCTTTGTCTCACATGATATATATATATATATATATATATATAGGGTTGGGTTCACGTAAGACCAAAGGTTTTTCGTGAGACCCGTAAGACCAATTTATATTCGTTGATCAACTTTATAAGCTAATGATCTAATGGTCTAAAGTTGCACGGTGACAATTTTGTGATTATTGAGAAGTCTTGTGGCAATTTTGTGATTATGAATGTTCAGATTGTAGATTTAATCCAAGTGTTAAGAATTGGTCTTACGGGTCTTATGAAAAACCTTTGGTCTCACATGATCCCAAATCTCTCTCTCTCTCTCTCTCTCTCTCTCTCTCTCTCTCTCTATATATATATATATATATAGGGTTGGGTTCACGTGAGACAAGATTGTTTTCATGAGACATGTGAGAGACGGTTTTTACATTTGAAACTTCACAACAAAATATTGTGAAGGTAAAAAAAAGTCGGATCTTCATAAGAAAAACATTGTGAAGGTTACTTTCATAGTGTTTTGTTGTGAAGTTCAAGTGTAAAAATCGTGTTTCACGAAAACAGTATGTCTCACATAATCCCAAGTATGTATGTATCTATATATATATATATATATATATATATATATATATAATTTTGTGATTATTTGGTGCAGGCCTAGGAGTGGACCCCTTATTGTTCCTCGAGGCCCATGATTGGCCCGATAGAAAGTGTCGTGCATACTTTCTTTTACGGGTCTCGTTTTCATGTCTACAATATGTTCATTCGAAGCATGAAACGGGGAGCACACGCTACCCAAAGACTTGCGGAATTTTTGAGGCCACAAAACGTCGTTTATGCATGTTTTGTGCTACTTGTGTGTTTTTGCTATGTTTTTCATTTTCAGTTTGACCCTCTATATTTAACCCATCAATTTTTTTCAAACCCGTTTATGGTTGAGACTCGTATTGTCAGTTGATTAATATCAAAATATCCATTGAACTAACGTACTTTAAAAAAATTGTTTTTGGGTATTCACGAAATCAACAAATTTAATCTTTGTTTCGATTTTCATACGTTGCATCGTTTTTTAAGGGTACAAAGTGGCATATTGTAATAATTCGATTGATAACAGACAAAACCAATAAAAATACGGATATTATTCATAATAGTCACTTGACGTGCAATTCATTTTATACTTGTTTTTCTATATAATTGACAGGAAATGGTCAATATTTCATAATTAACACTTTAACAACTCGTGAAATCCAATTTTTAGAAGGGAAAATTGCATGAAAAAGTAACATACTTTAACTTCATTCCTATTTTAGGTAACGTACTCTCAAAACTTCCATTTTTGTACCTAAGATGTAAAGTTTTAAACATTTAAGTACTCGGGTTCCAGGTTGAAACATTAACCGGTTATTATGTTGATGTGTCAAGTGATGTGGTATCCAGCTTAGTATTATTTGCTGACATGGTTAGTGGCATGGATTTTTTTTAATCTAAAATTAGTCTTCAACCGGTTATCCGGGTACTTAAATGTTTAAAACTTTACATTAGGTACCAAAATAAAAAATTTTGAAAGTATGTTACTCAAAATAAGAATCAAGTTAAAATACGTTACTTTTTTAATAAAATTTGCCCTTTTTATAAATAAAAATATTTAGAAAATAGCAATTTCGTAAGTTACTGAAGTGCTATTTATGAAATGCTGACATGACAAGTAGCACTTTAACAAGTTGGGAAAGTACAATTTAACATAGAAGATTGCCTTGTACTTATCGATTCTTTGTTTTAATCACTCAATTTGTTTGATAGTTGCCTAATTTAATCCCTTAATAACCACCATCTATCGAACTCAAATCATTCGATCAAGAAAAATGGGTTCAGAATCCCCGATTCAACTTCCGATTATCGATTTCTCCCAGCTAAAAACGCACAATCGAGACGATCGTTTCATCTGGGAATCCATAAGAACCGATGTTTTCAACGCTTTTCGAGACTACGGTTGCTTCGAAGCGTCTTCGTTTGTATCTATCGATCTTCAAGAATCCGTTCACGATGCATTGAAACAGTTGTTTGATCTCCCGTTAGAAACCAAGCTTCGAAACACATCAGAAATCGCCTTCCATGGATACGTCCAATCTCCTAAGGTTCCGCTCTACGAAAGCATGGGAATCGGAAACCCGTTCATCTCGGAAAACGTCGCCAGTTTCACCGATCTCATGTGGCCTCACGGAAACGCTAAATTTTGGTATGTTTCTTTTGCTCAACTCCATGAATTTTTACTCCAATGCCTAAAATATAGAAGCGTCCAAAATAGATATAAATATTACATACTGATACTAGATCGGGATTTCGTGACAGTGAAAGTATCAAGACGTACTCGAGGAAGTTGCACGAATTGGACGTGACGGTGAAGAAGATGGTTTTCGAGAGCCTGGATTTGGAGAATTACTTGGACGAAGAAATGCAATCAACGGGTTACCTTCTTAAGATGATGAAATACCGAGCACCGGAGCCAAATGAATCCGATATCGGACTCCATACTCATACCGACACTAATATAATGACGATTTTACATCAGGACGAAATCGGAGGGTTAGAGATCCAGACGAAAGATGAAGAATGGATACGAGTGGAAGTTTCGCCAAACTCTTTCGTCGTCGTGGCTGGCGAAACTTTCAACGTAAGTATTTGATTGACCATGAAATGCGTTTTATATAAATATGATACAATAAGTTTACAGGACCCTTTTGGGTATTTACGGAACATCTCACTACAAAAAAATGGGTTCGTCTTATGCCAAAATTTTCTTAGCGTCCTAGTAGACCGCTTTATAAAACTTAATTTTTAGAACAAAAAAATATATAAAGTGTTCTATCTAAAGGTGTTGTAATAAGTTTATATGATGTTTTTGGGCGTCCTAAAAAGTTTTTTAGAGAAAAAAATTATAAAAAAGTCGTATTAGCGATTTTATAGAACAATATTTGAAAAAAAAATGTCTTATAAAAACAAGTATCATATAAAAAATGAGTTTATAGGACATTTAACCAAAAATGTTCTAGGGGTTGTTTGTTTACCTCTTAATAGTTTCATTAAGATGCAGCATTTGAATCATTAAGAGGTGAATCTTGTTTGGCAAAAAAAAATTCTGCCTCTTAATGGTTCTAAAACCATCTGAATGATTTTGTATCCTGAGCCTCCCTTAATCATTAAGCGCCCTGATTTCATTATAAACAATTATCAAACAATTATATTTCATTTTACACTATATTATGAAAGTCTTTTAATCATTCTGACCACTTAATCATTCTGCACCAAACCATTCAGCAACTACCAAATGTGACGCTTTATTTTAAAATTGTTCTAAATAACTTGCTAAGACGTCTAAAAACGTCCTATAAACTTATTATTACGTCTTTAAATAAGACGTTTTTTTATCCTATAAATTAAGTCTTATAAAACAGTCTATTGGGACATTAAAAATTGGTGGCGTCATATGAATCCAATTTTATTGTGGTGTTTTTTATGGACACTTGTTTTATAAGACATTTTTTCAAATAATGTACGTGTTTTCATTTCAAATTTGTGATCAAAAAAAAATTGTTAAGACTCCAAAATAACGTCCTATGAACTTATTGTAACAAATTTTATATACAACACATAATTGTTTGGTCTCATAAGCTTAAGTTCAATTAAGCACTCTGTTAATTATGATATTTAGACATTTTTGATGACCCATAAGTATAATCTTGTAACTGATTGTGATTGCAGGTGTGGTTGAATGGTCGATTGCACGTACCGTTTCATAGGGTAATGATGACGGGAAACAAAGCTAGATACTCGCTCGGGTTTTTTTCCGTCAAGAAATCAAGCAGTCTTGTAAAAGCGTTTAATGAGATGGTAGACGAAGAACATCCGATGCTCTTCAAGCCTTTCGACTACGGAGAGTTTCTCAAGTTCTTCTATAAAGAGGGTGGCATTAAAAGCAAGTTCGCTTTAAAAACCTATTGCGGAAACGATATTTGTGTCTCGAATCACAATGAGCGATCTTGATTCGTCAAGAATTCTCGAGTTTAAGCATCGTGGAAAGAAGCATTCAGACACAAGATTTCCGATCTCCGATCTGTGTTTTCAAAGTGATTATTTTTTATGATTCAAACACAGTTATCGTATCGTAAAAATGTAACATTAAAAACCGGTTATTTTGGTACTTATTTATATGTTCGTGTTTAAATAAATGATTAATAAACGATTGAGTAAAAAATCTTGGGGCTTTTTAACATGGTCTGAACATGATTAAGACAATCAATATATTATTTAGGGGCTGTTTACCTAAATGTTTACCCGGTAAGCGCTTACCTTAGGAGTCAACATTATAATTTATTTTCTAAGTAAGATTGTAGTATATCAAAATGGTATCGTGTGCAACAATATATATGGTAAGCGTTTACCCAGGTAAAAGTCGTCACCCTCACTTACCGGGTAAGACTCTCTATCTTTATCATCGCTCTTACCAAGTAAGATTCTTGGGTCTTGTCATGTTCGTCCAATGAGGAAAATTGTCCGGTAAACAACTACTGGGTAAGCGTTTAGTAAACGGCCCCTTAGAGGTGTATATTGACATGAACTTAACCAGTGTTCTAAAAGGTTTGTCATGAAATTTGTCGTGGCACGTCATGGTTCAAGTAATTTGTAAGCAAATTTGTCCGGTATGCATATGTGTATAACATGCACACGTGCATAAAAAACAAGAATCAACTTCAAGTACTTGTACGTACATGTGTATACGGTCCAAATAAATAGTTATCAAGTTGTTACTTAGTTTTTCATTTTTTCTATAGATTTTTCCCCTGAACCTCCCTTTATAATTGTATATATGATATACGTATATATATATATATATATATATATATATATATGTATGTATGTATATATACTTAAAGGGTACTCGCATAATACAGCGAGACACATTTTGATTTTTATGTTTCGTTTTATTTTATTTTTTTGTCTCGGTTGATGTTATAACTTATAATACAGTTTTTATGTGATTTTGATAAAATGATAATATTTCTATTTTTGAATAAAATATAAATATGAAGATATATCATAAAAAATTGGAAAAAAAATATATTGGTATTAATATTAAAATGACTATTTAAAATTTCTCCTTTTTTGTATATTTTTTTAATTCGTTTTTTTTTTTTTTGTTTAATAATATTATTTTTATAAAGATAATAATTAAGTATTTTGTTAGAATTCAATGATTTTCCTAATTAAAATTTAATTTTTTTATATTTAAATTATATGTTTATCCTCTATTTGATTATGTTTATCTGCAGCTAGTTATACGAATTCAAACATGAAGCTTTAATATGTTGTACTTATATACAATTTACTTGTAATCTTGAATTTTAAGTAATATACATCCATAAAAAGTACTTCATGCATAAAAAATGATTTTTAAAAATTTTTGTCAAATACTTTATAATATAATATAGATATGTGGGCAAGTTCAAACGAGATCGCTAAAAAATTAAGAAAACAAGAAAAAAAGTCTTTAATATACAAAATCATAAAGGATTCACGTACAAAATCATACGTAACTCTCTCTCTCTCACACACACAGAGATATATATATATATACACACACACACACACGTACATAATCATACAGGTTCAAAAGTCGTCCGCTCCCATTTTATGATGTTAATGTAAAATCACATGTGATTTTATACATAAACAACATTTTTTCTTGTTTTCTTAAATAATTAGCGTTCTCGTGAGTCTTCCTCTATACATATTTTGCGCCATAAGACACGCTTTAATAAACACCATACCCTCGCCACGGCTACTAAGGCTTGAGTTCTGACCTCATCACCATGCAAACCACGTCTTACCATTTAGATCCTTGCCCTTAACTCGTCCTAAAGAGATCGATCCCTTTACATGATGGGGAAAAAACGAGTCTTGTTTAGCCAACCCACGCTTATAGTCATTGGCCAAAAAATTCGGACCAAATCCGGATACGATGGTCTTAACTCGTCTTTTTTAGGTATTTTTAAAAAATACATATATATATATATATATATATATTCGGATACCAGTCTGTGATCTCCTAAGAGGTCAGGGGTTCAAACCTCAACAAAGGTGAGAAGGGTGTGAGTTTATTTGTTCTATTTGTCGTATATAAATATTATATACTTCAAAAAAAATTGAAAGAAATATGTGAATCACAGTTAATTATAGAGTAAATTATACTTTTGGTTCACGTAGTTTGCCAAAAGTGTGATGTGTTGCTTCTAACGGTTGATAATTGATCATAGTGTTAACTCCATAGAACTCGAGTGTTATGAAACTGAAAGGTTAGATACCATCAGTGTAATAATTCGTTTCAGGGACCGAATCCAAAGTTTGAGCAAACCACGAGGACCATAAGTGTAATTCACTCTTTCAAAAATGTTATAAAAAACCTTTCGACGTCCTGTAAAGTCGATTTTATTACTTCGAAAGAATCGAATCAACGGCCGGCCATTGCTCTTCGTACACACCGAAGATCCATAGATAAGTTTAACTTCCCTTTATAATTCCATCTTGCAGTCTTTTGGACCTTTCTTTTTGTTCTATTCGGACCGCAGTCGACTAATTAAGCACATAACGATACGCTATAAATAGCTCGTTATCGACGATTAAAAACGATGTGCAGATACTTAATCCAGACAGATCGAAATGGGTTCAGACGCATACATTCAGCTTCCCGTTATCGATTTCTCAATGCTAAGTTATAACCAGAACCCAGAAGCTACTGATCATCTTCTTCACTGGGACTCCATGAAAACCCTAGTTCTTGAGTCTCTGCAGAAATATGGTTGTTTTCAAGCTTCCATGGATGGAGTTCCACCAGAGCTTCATAAGTCTGTGTATGGTGCAATGAAGAATCTCTTTGATCTGCCATTGGAGATGAAAGCAAAGAATGTATCCACACATATGTTTAATGGGTATATTGGTAATTCTACACCACTTCCATTGTATGAAAGTATGGGCATTGATGAACCTTGTGATTATCAAGAAGTTGAAAACTTCATCAATCTCATGTTGCCACAAGGAAACCCTCAAGTTTGGTAAGGTTTTTTTTTAGTGTTCTAGTTTTTTTATTAACCTGGATATCGAACCCGTTATATGAGTCGACTAATCGTAGGAGACCATCCGTTTTGTGGGTGGTCCGGAGTCACCGTATTTGAACCTCTGTGGTAAATGGGGGTTGTTATTTCTCATTGGATTTTAAAAAAGTTGTCGCTACAACAAAATCGGGTTTATAGGACGCTCCCAATTTCTAAGCGTCCTAATAGACCTCTCTATAGGACTTGGTTTATACGACTAAAAAAATAAAGTGTCATGTCAAAAAGCGTTGTAATAAGTTTATATGACGTTTTTTAACGTCATAATAAGTTTTTTAGGACATTTTTAATATTAAGCGTCTCATTAACAACTTTATAGGACACTATTTAAAAAAGTGTCCTATAAAACAAGTGTACTATAAAAAATTGAGTTTATGGGACACTTTTTCAAAAGTGTCCTATAAAGTTGTTAATGCGACGTTTTGTGTATTAAAAATGTCTTAAAAAACTTGTTAAGACGCCCAAAAACGTCATATAAACTTATTACAACGCCTTTAGATAGTACGCTTTATATTTTGGATATAAACTTATTACAACGCCTTTAGATAGTACGCTTTATATTTTGGCATTATAAATTAAGTCCTATAAAGCGGTATATCAGGACGCTTAGAGATTGGGGGCGTCTTATAAACCCGATTTTGTTTTAGTGTGTTAGGATGCAGAAAATCATTCTATCAACTTATTGTAACATCTTTACATACGACGCACAATTGTTTGGTTCTGTAAAGCTAGGTTTCATAACAAAACCAGCCTATTATAACATTTAGACATATTTGGCGTTCTATAAAGCAAATTATGTTGTAATGCAACATTCTTGATAAGTTAGTATATCAAGTGTTTTTTTAAATAACGAGTTATGAACACCACGCTTGTGTGTTAGCAACGACATCCATATTTACTCGAAGAAGCTGACGGAAATGGAACGAATGGTGAAAAAGATGGTGTTCGAGAGCTTCGATTTGGGGAAGCATTTGAACGAACACATGGAACTAACACGCTACGTGCTCAAGCTCATGAAATACCGAGCGCCTGAGCCAAACGAAACGAATCTTGGATTGCACGCTCATGCGGATTCTGGGATAATGACGGTTTTACATCAAAACGAAGTCGAAGGATTAGAGATTCAGATGGAAGACGAAGAAGAATGGCTCAAGGTGAAACTTTCACCAAACTCGTTCATCGTCATGGCCGGAGAAACTTTAAGGGTAAGTAATTAATACAGTTAAAGTCCCACGTCTATGCTTGGGCTATTTCTCTACTACAACAAAACTGGCTTTATATAGCGTCCTACTATGATATTTTATAGTACTTAAGTTTATAGGACCAAACCAAAAAAATATCTTATTTAAAAGTGTTACAATAGGTTTATAAGACGTTTTTAGGCGTTTTAACAAGTGTCGTATTAGCTATTTTATACAACACTATTTGAGAGTGTGTCCTATAAACGCAAGTGTCCCATAAAAATATGGGTTTTTAAGACAGTTCTCAAAAGTGTCCTATAAAATAGCAAGTCCTAAAAAGCTTGTTAAAACACTCAAAAGCGTCCAATAAACTTGTTGCAACGCTTTTAGATATGACGCATTATAATTTGGTCCTAGAAACTTATGTTCTATGAACACTATAATAAAATTGGGTTTATCGACGTCACTAATAAATAAGTGTCCTAATAGATCACTTTATAAGACATAATTTATATGACCAAAAGACAAATTGTCGTATGTAAAGGCATTGTAATAAGCATATAGGACGCTTTTGGGCGTTTTAACAAGTTTTTTAGTACACTTTTAATAGAAAGTGTCGCTTTAAACCCATCATATCTTTTTATAGGACATCTGTGTTTATAGAACATTTTTTCAAACAGTGTTCTATAAAATAGATAATATGACTTTTTTTTATAAAAATGTCCTAACAAACTTGTTACGACTCCCAAAAGCGTCTTATAAACTTATTACAATGCCTTTAGATAAGATACTTTATTTTTTGGTCCTATAAATTATGTCTTATAAAGTGGTCTACTAGGACGTTTATTCATTGGTGGCATCGTATAAACTCAATTTTGTTGTAGTGGAAGTATTCTATTAGGATGCTTAGACATTTTAGGCGTCCTATAAAACCAGTTTTGCTATATGAATCTATTGTAACATCTTTAGATAGGACGCTTTATAGTTTGACCCTAGAAACTTAATCTATATAAAGTATTTTATTAGGATGCTTAGACAATTTAGGCATCCTATAAAACTAACTTTGCTGTATCTTCAATATATGTTGGATCCTTCATTCTCTTCTCAAAGGCTCTTTGGAGCGTAATCTGGTGGTTCCGTATGTATATTCTCACATGGTATTAGAGTAAATGTCTACCAATCCAGGGACTCGACACTTTCGAACAGTCTGTTCACGTCTAACCTCCATTGGATGAAGCGTGTTAGAGTCCTACATTAGCTAAACGTGGACTATTTTTTCAGTATATACATCAGAACCTCTGTTCTCTACTCAAAAACTCTTGTGGAGAATAATATCACTACAACAAAATTGGGTTTATAGGACACCTCAATCTCTAAACGTCCCAATATACCGCTTTATAGGACTTAATTTATAGGACCAAAATACAAAACGTCCTATCTAAAGGTATTGTAATAAGTTTATATGATGTTTTTGGGCGTCTTAACAAGCTTTTTAGGACATTTTTAATACAAAATGTCGCATTAGCAACTTTATAGGACACTTTTGAGAAAGTGTCCTATAAACTCAATTTTTTATAGGACATTTGTTTTTATAGGACAATTTTTCAAATAGTATCCTATAAAGTTGTTAATGGGGCGCTTTGTATTAAAAGTGTTCTAAAAACCTTATTACGACATCAAAGAACGTCATATAAACTTATTACAACATCTTTATATATGACGCTTTATTTTTTTGGTCCTATAAACTAAGTCTTACAAAAAGGTCTATTAGGACGCTTAGAAATTGGGAGTGTTTTAAAAACATCTGATTTTGTTGTAGCGTATAGTGGTTCCACATATTCTCCAATAAATTAACATGGCCAGATTATGTACGAAAATTAACAACTAGATCGATGTGTAGGTATGGTTGAACGGGAGATTGCACGCGCCATTGCATAGGGTGGTGTTAAAAGGAAACACGAATCGGTTTTCTTTAGCGCTTTTTGCATTGCCAAAAACGGGTTACACTTTAAAAGCCATCGAAGAAATGGTGGACGAAGAACACCCGTTGCTCTTCAAGCCTTTTGATTACGAGGATTTCATGAAGTTCCTCTTCACAAGCCGTCGACCGATAGATAAGTTCGCCGTAAAGGTTTATTGTGGCCTTGTGTACTGAACATGTAACATATACATATATAAGGGAGGTTCAGAGAAAAACCCTTATAAAAATGAAAAACTAAGGAACACTATGGTAACCGTTCATTTGAATGGTATGCACACATGTGTATACAAGTAATTGAAATTGTTTTATGGTTTTTATGCATGTGTGTATGTTATGCCCATGTGCATATTAGACAAATTGCTTAGAAATTACTTATATACACATGTACATATTTTCCAGATAAATAATTACTATGGTGTTCCTTAGTTGTTATTTTATCTGTTGTTTTCTCTTAAACCTGACCTTACATGTGTATATAGGTCTTTAATAAAGGGGGGTTTTGAGGAGTATGAAAAAAAAATCTTTAATATATCGTTTTTATCATCAGAAATAGCATTGAATTCAAGACAAATACTGATAATTCATATAAAAACGGTTTTTCAAGTATTTCTAGATGCAAAATCAATGAGTAATTATTTTTGAATTAATATTATCTACCATATCGTTTTTACATAGCATTGTCAATCTGTTCCACCATCAAAACATCCTATTATATACCTTTTAATATATAGGCGAAGGATCGTGTGACAAAGTAAAGTTATGGTGATAATCGTAAAAAGAGATTTGAACTCTTGATCACTTTTAATCTCATTTCAACCTATGAATTGCACTTTAGAAGGGAATTGATCTGGTGCATCTTGGTGCACCTCATTAGTGTTGACCTTCGATTAAGATTGATCCAATGGTGAAAATCTCTTCTTATGTTTCTCACCATAATTTCTTTTCTCACTGGAATCCAACCCTTGTATATACATATATATATATATACATACACACATATATATAGGGTTGGGTTCACATGATACCAAGGTTTTTTCGTGAGACTCGTAAGACCATTTGGCCATCTCTAACGGACAATGACAAGTTGTTAAGCCCGAAAAAATGACTTGGATTTACAATATTAAGCTTGTTGGAAAGAAAAAAACAAGTTAGACCCGACCCAGACTCAGACCAGACTCGCAAATGATCACCTCTAATTGTACGATTGTACATGTTTCACTCATAGTACCAATTCCATAATATTTTTTTAAATGTATACCACGTCTAATTCCGTAATTTCTTCAAAATTAGGATCCAATCTTTAACTTTTTACAAACTATAAGGACTAAACATGTAATTCACTCTAGAAAAATAATTAATTTTTTAATTAATAAATAATTCATTTTAATATATTTTTCTAAATCGAATAATTAATGATAATACTTTTTATAGCAACGCGTTTTCGTGGAAGTGATTGGTTTCAACCGACAAGATTTATGAAACGCATTGTTATAGTATTTTATTGAGTAAATTATAAATTTGGTCTCCGTAGTTTGTGGAAATTAACATTTTTCATCCCTATAGTTTTAAAATTCGAACATGGTTATAATTATTTGTAAAAATGTACGAATTTGGTCCTTTTATCTAACGAGCGTTAAAACATTCCGTTAAATTAGGGGATTTTTCATCCTTTTTATCGATCGTTTTGTCTTTCACCCAACTGAATTCAATTTTATGATTTTGGTTCTCGTGGTTTTTGATCGGGTAGAAGAGAAAATCGATTAAAGAATGAAGTTGCTTCTTATTGAGATGTAGGAAACAAATTCGGAGCTTTTTGCAAACCACAATGACCATCTTGGAATTCTTAAACTACATAGACGAAAAGTGTTGTTTTTGACAAAACACGGGGACCAAATTTGTAATTTACTCTATTTTATATTAAAACAAGAATTATTTAGGGGTTGTTTGACGGTTGTTGAATGGTTTGGTGCAGAATGATTAAAAAGTTCTTATGATATAATGCAAAAATGAAATATCTTTGTTTGGTAATTGTTCGGAAAGAAATTAAGACACTGAATGGTTTAGAGAGGTCCAAGATACAAAATTAGCCAGAGGGTTTTAGAACCATTGAAATACAGACTTTTTTTGCGAAACAAGATTCACCTCTTAAAAATTCAAATGTTGCCTCTTAATGGAACTATTAAGAAGTAAACAAACAAGTAAAAAAAATACCACAACATGTTATTTTAGTTTTTTTTTTTTTAAATTATAAACTAACGACATAATGGTTAATTTTATCATTTTTAATATATTATTTAATGACAGACTTGAGATTTTTATCAGATGGTTGAACCTTTAAGATGGATTAACGGACTGCGAAGTTGCTCGATGTGTTTTTAGCCAAATTCTACTGTTTCAAGTGAGTTTTTAAGTTTTTTTTTTCGTTGATTTCAAGGGTTTCTTAAGTTTTTTTGGTTGATTTCGAGACTTTTTCGGTCTTTGCTGGATTTTGAAATACTCTTTTTGGTTATTTTTTTATGTTTCTTGTATTTTCTAATATCGAGGGCATCCATCAAAATTTAGTGGGTATACATTTCATACCCAAAGTATATATACTTACTGAAAATAAGTTGATCAGTGTACGGGACTTGCTCGGGGCTTAATAGGTTTGCATTTGGCCTGCTATTATCTGAATTCTGTATAAATAAATTTAATTACATAGATGTTACTTGTAATCTAATAACCTAAAGAGTAAATTACTAAAATCGCTCATGATGTTTGTCGAAGATTTTGGTTTGTGCTTCTTCCTCTAACAGGCGTATAACATTTTAACACTGTTCCCGACATGTTTTAAGTTGAATTTCATTATCTTGGGGATAAAATCGGTCTCTTTTAATTCGGTTTTGTGGTGATTTCATAACTTTGCATCTATTTTCTTAACCAAACCATAACTCATCCGTAAAACGAATGTGGTTTATGAAGGGTTATGATTCTGATTTACAATAGGGTTACGATTTGGATTTCGAAAAATGGTGACGGGATTGGTTTACAATTGGAATATTATTTTCTGGTAATCTACGAATTGATTGCAATTAGGTTATAAGTTTGAGAGTTTCAATTTGATAATCAAAACGGAAACGAAACTGCAAGCTCAATTAACTTGACATAAATTTTTTTACGAGATTGTTGATAAAGTCATGAAACAGAGGTGGATGCAATAGGTTTAGATCATATACAGGGATACTCGAGGCAATTTTCATTACTTTGTAGATCTAATTAAGCACCCACTTAATGAAAACAACCCCCTAACCTGAATCGGGATGGAACAACTGGAAGGTCCAAGCTTATTCATTGATTTTTTCTTTGAAACCAGTTCTAGAAAAGAAAGGAAGGGCAGACGTGGGATTTTCAAAGTTTTACGTTTTTCTTTGAAGGGTGGGTGTAGATCGAGGTCTCAGTGATCAGTGGTGACCGATGACCAGATATGTGGCGGAGAAGTGGAGTGAGAAGTCAGGGTTTTAATTTCGTAAGTACTTGGTTACTGGAGTTAGTTCTTATTTTTATCAGCGTTCAGAAAAAAAAAAAAAAAAAAAGACTAAAACACCCTCGTGTAAGGGGCGATTGAAGTATGTGAGAGTGAGAGACAGAAAAGCGAAAACGGAATGCAAGCAAGAAAAGTAAATTTGTAATAAACTAAGTTGAGGGACTAAATATGTAATTTTGAAACAGTATAAGGACTGACTTTGTAATTTGAGAAAAAACAAACACGATTACGATAAGTTCGTTTTTATTTTTGTAATCCATGTGGTGTGATTGTGTAAATTTTAAACCAGAAGCCAGCTGGACCCACAAGGACCAAAAGTCAACTTCTGGAAAGTCAAAACTTATTTCTTGCACCCCTGTTCATTTTATTTTTTAAATGCATCTTTTTATTTATTTATATAAAATTTAATTTTTTTAAATGAATTATATATATATATTTTTTTTTAAAACAGATAATTATATTTATATATTTTTCATCTAATTTTTTAAAGTTTTATCAGGTATCATTATTTTCTAATTTTCTTATAATTTGAATGATTTATGGAATCGGCAAATTGCATGAAAAAAATAATGTATTTTAACTTGAAGTCAATTTGGGTAACATACTTTCAGAACTTTCATTTTGGTATCTAAGATGTAAAGTTTTAAACATTTAAGTACTCGGGTAACAGGTTGAAGCATTAGCCTGTTATCATGCTGATTTAGCGAATGATATGATATCCAACTCAGTATTATTTGCTGACATGGTTAGTGACATAGATTTTTTTCCATCTAAAATTAGTCTCCACCGGTTACCCGGGTACTTAAATGTTTAAAACTTTACATCTTAGGTATTAAAATGAAAGTTTTAAATGTACGTTACCCAAAATATGACTCAAGTTAAAGTATGTTAATTTTTCATACAATTTGCCCTTATGGAATCAATATTTTATGTATTTATACGGACGCTTTAGTGTCATAATTTAATTTTGTAACACTTATATCGGTAATTAAGATATATCTAAGACTTTAATAATGATACAGTACACAGATGGTTTTATTTATAAAATTAACTAGTAGTACAAATCATACAAATTAATTAATTGAGATATTTATGAAAATGATGATGATTCATTTTATTATGATTTTGATATTTATGAAAGATTATCAGAGTTCATTTATTATGATCAACATTTTATATATTTGTAAATGAAACCTGGGTTTTCAAATATAAATCAAGAAAATCATACAGAAGTATCTTAACCATTCATCTAGTATAATCAATATATGGGTTATAAATATTCGATTGTTTATAATCTAACGAAACGATTATAAGGAATGGGTTTTTATCAATTTACATAAATATTTTGATCATAATGAATAAACTCTGATAATATTACTCATTCAAGAAAGAACTGATTAGTTTGTGGTAACCGTGAGATCCAATGTGAACCACTCGTTTGAGATATTTAAGGATGTTTCTTAAATAAGCTAAAAGGGTAATATAGTAATTCTTTTTTTTTTCAAGTAATCAAAATATTTAATTAAATTTTTTAGAAATAAATATTTAATTAAAATTAGTTACCTAGTATATCAATTACCTAATATACATCGTATTTTAAAGACATTTGTGAATCAAAGTATATCATAGTGATAACGTTCACAATGTTTCACGTGTATCACATTGTATTTCTTTTGTTTTATGAAATTTATCATAGTATGCAACTATGCATTATCATTACTTTACAGAGGGTATCACATTATACATCTTGTATGTATATCTGGTTATCACGGTTTGTATTTTATGTTCGCATAATTTTTAAATTAAAGTTGAATTAAATAAAAAAGCCCAATTAGGCAACTCCTTATAAATTTACCATTTTGGATTATTAAAATAAATAAATAATATTTAACCTTTTTAGTAAATATGTTAATTAAATATTAACAAAAAGGACATACTTTTTTAACCAAAACCAACGTGGCTTGAAATTTATTTATAGATAAAAAAATATTATTTATAATTAATACCAATTTTTAATATGTAAAAAAAAAAAGCCTGAACAATTCTTTAATCGAATAATGTTATATTTAATTTCAAACGTTGTTATGTTATAGAAATGGACATATTTTGTCCTTAGCTTCAAATAAAAAAGAATAAATACCCGCCCTTTGTTGAGGGGCATAATTGTCAACAAATTTTGTTTTGAATCAAAAGTAAACGGTTATTTGATATATTTTAATTCAATTAAGATGTGTGTGAGCCTCAGGTGAGAATGGCATACATATATGGAGTGATTAAATGAAAACTATTTAATTTGTAAAAATCATAAAAATCTTAGTTCATCAATTATAATTTTTCATTTTGGTCATATTTTTGTAATTATAAGAGGTTGATTAATCATTTTTATTGTGCAGGATGTTAATCATGGATATTGTCATCTTCATTATTTTAATTTTAGAGAAATATATGAAACAATTTCATTAAAATTTCATAACCATATATGAAACAACTTCATCAAAAAAAAA